ATGAGGTGTCAAACTTTTTTTTTGACACCGGTGTCAAAGGATCCTGCCTCTATATGTATATATATATTATATATATAATTTGTATGAAAAATCATTGATATGTCTACTGTTGGTCTTGCTAAAGTTTATCTAGTATTGTGCAAGTATACACAGCCATAAGTAATATAAAGTCTATAAATTCTAGCTATCGTTTCCAGAATGATCTTTTGATGAAAAGTTCAAAAGCACAAAATGCAATTACTTAATACCGAATTTCTAAAAAAAAGAGAGTAACAATAAAAATAACATAATACAAAACTGCTCTAAAATAGCACTGACTGCATTACTATTTTTTTTTTTAGACTTTTCTGAATTAATTTCTTGGGTCAATTGTTCTAAAAGATGAAAAATAACATGAAAGCAATTTAAGTAGTGTTTTGTCTATTTTTAATGTAAAAAGATTTTTACAAAAAATGTAAAACAGAAGGATGATTAAAATTCTAAAGTAGAGGAAAACTGAGTTGGTGAAAATGTTTAGAAAAATAGGTTGGGCTTTCGGATTACCCTTCCCACAGCAATGGAAGGAATGCCAATTACATATTGCTTAATTTTAATTCCAAGTTAACGAATCACTCTTGCTGATTATAATCTCTTAAAATCATTTTATCCCCTACCTTCATTCACACATCTAGATCTGTGCTGAATGCAGTGAGAACTCTTATATTCCAAGTCCAAAGTTACATGGTGGATGCCCTCATCTCTAAGTCACAACACTTGAATGATCTCTTATCCGAGCCCATGTGCTTAATGCATTTTCCAAAATTAGTCACATCTCGATGACTTCTTCCTAATACAACATCTAACATCAGGCCTCAATGAAAGAATATTTAAAAAACAAGCATGACATTAAACAACTGAGAATTAAAATTAACAACAGTAATTAGCAATCAACCAACACTAAGGTTCGGGTAACCTAAACCCAACCTTCAAAGGTTTGGCTCATACCTATAAGGGTTGAGCTACAAAAACAGCAAACGAAAATTAAAAAAAAAATTACAACTAAAAAATGGAAATTACGAGGAAGAAGCTATATCCACAAAATAGCTATGATACAGTGCTCAGAAAAAACTAACAAAGGGAAAAATGTAAAAATATAAAGATCAAAACAGACCACAACGAAAAATAGAAAAGATGGAGAGAAAAAGTGCCTACAACGCTTTGCTCTTCTCTTTTATAGCTTATGCTCCCACATGCAGAGATGATTCACACATCAGTTGGCACGTGCTACACCAATCGTGCGATTCCCTTACAAAGGCCGTAACCACACTCCAAAAATTGCTTCAGCCAACAATCCTAACAAACTCCAGCTCACCCAATCAGCTATCGGTAGTGTTTGGCATTTTCTTTTTGAATAAAAATGGTTAGGGTCAGTGCTTTGGGTTGAACGTTCAGCTTAAGGGACAATGCGTGAAGGGCTAAAGCTCGATGGGTAAACCAAAATTAAAAACCCAGCGTGGCTTGGTGGTTTGATTTGTAAAGAATAATCAAAATGGAAAGTTCGGGATTGTGGTTGGTTGGAAATGGGTTGGTTCGCATGGTGGAGGTTAGGGTTCGATAGCTTCATAATGTTTTTCCCCAATTGTGTCCAACGCTGCCTTATATTTCTTTCTTCCAATTTTTTCTTTCTACTGTTTATTTGGGCTTTTCTGAATTCAAACAAGCCCATTCTCTTTTTTTTTTCTTTCTTCTTCTTTGCTTTGTGAAGTCTTAATATGTGGATCTGAAAAACAAAATAAAGCCCTTAGCTTTTAACTCAACCACATTTCAGCTCAATGCAATTGTGGTCAGAATTATATACAAAGTATTCTTTTTTCTAGCATTTTCATATCAATACCCATATGTTTTAAGTTACATTTCATTAACTTATCATCTACCAGAGAAAAAAACATTGATATATATTATTTTCAAATAAATATTTTGTTCATTAATATTTATAATATGTAAATATTTTTATAAGAAAAAGTGTGTATAATTTAAAAGGATGTAAAATTGTGTTATTTTAAGAGAGAGAAATATATAGATAAAGGAGGAGAGAGAGTTGACAACAAAATAAAGGTGTGGGTCCCACCTCTTTGTAAGAGTAAAATGATATAAATTGTGTCATTTAAAAGGATAAATATTTTTTCTATTTTTATAAACATATTACATTTAAATTTATAATATAATTTTCGTTGCGACGAGTGTCCCACTGCGGCACAGATATGGAATCCTCACTTTCATGCATCTTTTGCATCGCCGAAAGATGTATGCGACCAACCCACAACAACTAATCGGACAAAATCAACGGGGCCGCAAATACTTATTTTGCTCCCTAATATTTCATTAATCGTTTTAGTTATCCTTTTTCGATAATTACTAAAAAAAGGTTCCGTCTTTATTTTTGTTGGGCAAGTGGCTTCTTACACAGGACGCGTACGGAACACCTAGAGGGGGTGAATATGTGTTCTAAACTTTTTCAAAAAACTTTTTCTTCAGTCCCTATATGCCCAAAATAATTTTTCACAATGCTAAGAACAATATAGTAACAGAATGCGTATCTTAGCAATTTATAGAGTATAAACGCAACAATGTAATTTTCTTAAACAAAACAGAAAAAAATTAATTCTGCTACAACACTTTTAAACCAGAAATCAGTGTTACTTTAAGTCTCTAAACAGAATATTCAGAAATTAAATCAGAGAGACAAGAGACACACGATATATCCTGGTTCACACCCACTAAGCCTAAGTAGGGTGCTACGTCCAGACTGAAGTAGCTGCAAATATTTTATTTATCACAAGTGTACCTGTTTTACAAACACGCGTCACACAAGCAATCAAACAAAATATCAAAAACCTTCCTAGTGCCTACACTGCTCCAAGCTCTGAGAATACTCTCAAGCCGAACCTACGGAGTTCACCAACTCCTCTCACACATGACCTCCACTCTCCCTAGTGGATTCTTGAGGCTCCAGGCCTTGAGACACACTATCAAGCTAAGCACAAGGTTGCCAACCCACACGGTTGCACCCACACATCTAGGACATATTTACAACACACAACAACTCCACTTTAACAACCAATACAATATCTCAGATTTATAACAGAAATTTTTTCAACCTATTACAATATCCTATCACACTTGATATCAAATAAAGCACAACAACAAGCTCCAAAAATGATATGATGTCTGCAGAAAATTTAGAGCACAATCATATGTATCACAAACTACAAATTTTCAGCAATAAGGAACTTGTATTTATTTGTATCAAGTATCTAAATGATGGACACTAAAAATTCTGATTTAAAAAGAAATTATCACATTATATCCAGAAAAATCAGAATTGTAATTTCTCTGAAAATTTCACAAAAAAATCAGAATTAGTTCTAGATAAATCTTTTAGTAATAAACCACAAGAAATCTGAATTTTAATCACAATATATCTCAATTAAAACAGAAAATTCAGATTTAATATTTCAACAATAAAATTTCTAGAACAATTCAAGATTAGGTTTCTAAACAATAAATTCCAAACAAAAAATCTGAATTAAATCACTGTATTACAATAACAAAAATTCAGATTTAATATTTATTTATTTTTCTTTTTTTTTTTCAATCTTTCACAAAAAATTATAAACACAAATCTTACACAAAGAGCATCAAGATTTCTACTATACTCACTTAAAATCAAAACTGCAAAATCAGAATGCTCACAATGTATCAAAAAGAAAACAGAAAATCAAATCAACAATATCAAGTATCAAGATTATACCAAATGATGCTCAAAACAAGGTTTAAGATATTACCTTAACAGATCTCAAATTTCCAGCAAAGTAAAATTGAAAATGAGGTTAGGGTTCTTCAACCTTAGTTCCAAGAAACTTGAATTAAATGCTTCCAAATGGTTGAGAACTTATCAGAGAGAGCAGAGACTGTGAGAGCTTTGAAATTTTTTTTGCAAACTTCCGAAGAACAAAGATGATTATTCAGAGAAACTGAGATGGCGTTTTTGTTCCGAGAGCGTAGAAAAACTGGGTACTGTGAAACTTGTAAAAGATGTATGTGATATTGTAAAAGTTTCTCACTCTTTTTTAATATTATATACAACAAGAGTCTCATCACTTTGATTTACGGGAAAGATCAAACTGTTGCCTTTTTTTACTTTATAAAAGCTACTGATGGGTTTTATATTTTTATATATTAAAATCAAAGGTTTATATATATGTATATCAATCAACTTAACAAATCGTGAAAACAACGCTGTTTCGTTTCTTTATTTATATATATATTAAAAACAAACGTTGGTTTCTTTATATATATATATATGTATATATTAAAAACAAAAGTATGTTTCTTTATGTATATATATATATATCAATCAACGCGAAACAAATTTTGAAAAGAAGTTGACGTTCATATATATCAATCAACGTAAAAGTATATATTCATATACTTTTTCTTTCCCCTTTTTTTTTTTAAAACAGATTTTTAATTGATTTGGATTTTATTTTTTAAAACCTGTTATGTAATTTTATTTTTTTATTTTTTATTAGGTCACTCAACATAACTAAATACATGTTATGCAATGATATCCAATGGAGCTTGGAATCATGCTTAATGATATATCCAATTTGTTAAAATCTAAAAATTATCTAACCCGAAAATTTAGCATCTTCAAATGAGTTCTTCATGCTTTGACATCATCAAAACTATTTAGGCATAACCTTGTAGACTATAGGAGGTCCTTTAATCTCCCCCCCTTTTTTTTTGGAGTTACCCAACCCTAATTATCTCTTTGAGACGAGTTGGCTCCCTCCGGTATCCCCACGAGCTTCGACTCTTTGAGCCGGCTATGGAACTAATCCGGAGTACGGGGGAACAGTGATGGCTAAAGGTTCAGCCCCCTCCATGGCAATATATACTCAAATTGAGAGAAATAAAATGGTTAGTAGCAAATGTTAGATAACATGTAATATCACAACTTTAAAATTTCTTTAAGCTCCCCTATCAATATGCATAAGCTCAATTTGACATTCATTTATCTTATTTTCTCCCCCTTTGACATTATCAAAAATAATAGTAGCATGAGATACAACCAAAGCATATGAAAAAAATGGCATAATGAATAAAGACATGTTAGAAGGCATGAATGTGCATGTATTAAGAAGACGGATCAAATAAGCCTAATTCCATACGCAATCTTTCATAGGTATCTCTAGGTAATGACTTTGTAAAAATATCCGCTAATTGTTTAGTTGTATCAACAAAATTAATTTCAACATCTCTTTTACTAACATGATCACGAATGAAATGATGACGAATATCAATATGTTTAGTACGTGAATGTTGAATGGGATTCTTAGTTAGGTTAATAGCACTTGTGTTATTACACAAGATGGGAATAGTCTCAAGTTTCAAACCATAGTCCAGAAGTTGTTGCTTCATCCAAAGAACTTGGGCAACACAACTACCTGCAGCTATATACTCTGCTTCCGCAGTGGATAGAGCTACACTAGCTTGCTTCTTACTATGCCAAGAAACTAAAGCGTTTCCAAACAAATGACATGTGTCACTCGTGCTCTTCCTATCCAATGTACATCCAGCAAAGTCGGCATCGGAATACCCAACTAAGCTTGGTGGAAATCCCTTAGGATACCACAATCCCATATGACTAGAACCCACCAAATAACGAAAAATTATTTTAACAGCAGCTAAGTGGGACTCTCTAGGATTAGATTGATATCGTGTACACATGCATACAGCAAACATAATATCAGGTCTAGAGGTAGTTAAATATAACAGTGATCCAATCATACCTCTATACCTTGTAGAATCTACCGATTTACCTTGTTCGTCTTTATGAAGTGTACATGAGGAGCTCATGGGTGTGTCAATATGCTTTGCAGAGTCCATCCCAAATCTCTTTAGGAGGTCCTTACAATACAATCAAAACTGAAAAATCAGAATGCTCACAATGTATCAAAAAGAAAACAGAAAATCAAATCAACAATATCAAGTATCAAGATTATACCAAAGGATGCTCAAAACAAGGTTTAAGATATTACCTTAACAGATCTCAAATTTTCAGCAAAGTAAAATAGAAAATGAGGTTAGGGTTCTTCAACCTTAGTTCAAAGAAACTTGAATTAAATGCTTCCAAATGGTTGAGAACTTACCAGAGAGCAAAATTGTGAGAGCTTTGAAAATTTTCTTGCAAACTTCCGAAGAACAAAGATGATTATTCAGAGAAACTGAGATGACGTTTTTGTTTCGAGAGCGTAGAAAAACTAGGTACTGTGAAACTTGTAAAATATGTATGTGATATTGTAAAAGTTTCTCTCTTTTTTTTAATATTATATACAACAAGAGTCTCACCACTTTGATTTACGGGAAAAATCAAACGGTTGCCTTTTTTTTTTTACTTTATAAAAGCTACTGATGGGTTTTATATTTTTATATATTAAAGTCAAAGGTTTATATATATGTATATCAATCAACTTAACAAATCGTGAAAACAACGTTGTTTCGTTTCTTTATTTATATATATTAAAAACAAAAGTATGTTTCTTTATGTATATATATATATCAATCAACGTGAAACAAATTTTGAAAAGAAGTTGACGTTCATATATATCAATCAACGTAAAAGTATATATTCATATACTTTTTCTTTCCCTTTTTTTTATTAAAACAAATTTTTAATTGATTTGGATTTTATTTTTTAAAACTTGTTATTTAATTTTTAATTTATTTTATTTTTTATTTTTTATTAGGTCACTCAACATAACTAAATACATGTTATGCAATGATATGCAATGGAGCTTGGAATCATGCTTAAAGATATATCTAATGTGTTACAAAAAATCTAAAAATTATCTAACCCGGAAATTTAGTATCTTTAAATGAATTCTTCATGTTTTGACATCGTCAAAACTATTTAAGCATAACCTTGTAAACTATAGGAGGTCCTTTAATTTTCAGAGTACGATTTTGCTTTTTTTTTGGTCCGTTTTAGATATGAGAGAATATTGTCACATCCAAAATAGTAGTTAGAACTTTATAAAAAGAAAATTATATTAATCTTCTCACATATATGTTTACATTAGAATTTGCAACAGTAAAAGTGTATAAAATGACTAAATCGAAATAGCTAAATCCTTAATTATAAATGAAAAATAGATTGAGTAGAAATTTTGCTAATTTAATTACGAAGTTTACTAGATTTTCCAATTACTTAATATATATATATATATATATATATATATATATATATATATATATATACACGTTTTTAAATTTTATTTTATTTTTTAAATTTATTCATCGATATATGGATAAGGATTCAATTTGTTTAAATTAAATTTAAAATATCCATAAATCCGATTTAGGATAGGAGTAGTTTTTTAAATTCTTCGTAGTGGCAAAATTAGATAGTTTTAATCCTTATATAGAATGTATGATGCAAGACCAGATTAAGTAAAAATATGACCTGGTGAAGTCAAATGTTAATAAACGTATATTTCAATTCTTTAATTGAAATATTTAATAAAGTATTTCTATATAGATTTTAATCTAAACGTTCAAAGATTAAATACAGGCTCATTAGTGGGTGAAGTAGCTTGGTCGTCGGTGGATTAAGGCCCGTTTGCATAAATTTTTGGAAAAAAGAGAGTTTTTTATGTCTTATTTATTTTTAAAAAATATTTTGCAAAGGTATTTTACGTGTAGTACATGAAAAGTACTTTTAACGAAATAAATTATTTGAGTGTTAAAATTAAAAAAACACTTTTAATCTATAGTATTATTAAAAAGACATGTAAAAACAAATCATAGAAGCAAATTTGGCTTCAGTGGAGACGGTGGTAATGGTGGCGGCGATAATTGTGGTGCTGTTGGCAAGATGTGGCGATAACGACAATGGTATAAGTGGTGGCGTGAAGCCATGAAGGTAGTGACAATGATGATGATATGATGGTGGCAATTATGACGACGGCAATAGAGGAGGTAGCAGTAGTAATGGTGGTGTGACAACGGAGATAAATTTATTCAGGGTTGGAGTTATATTGATGACGATGATGATGGAAGTGGTAGAAATACTTGTGGTAGCTGAGGTAGCGGTGAAAGTGAGATAATTGTTGAGTTGGGGCAAATTTAGATTTTGAAAATTATTATTATCTTTTTAGAAACTAAAACTTTTAGCTTTCAAAAAAATGTGATTATTTTTTAGGGAAAAGTTCACTAATGCTCCTGTGTTTTGTTTCAGAATCATTTATGTCCCTGTGAATTTTTTCCTATCACACATGCTCCTGTGCTTTGTAAAAAATAAGAAACCACATGGTTATATGTGCTAAAAAACATACCTTTTACAAACCACAGGAGCATATGTGATAAGAAAAAAATCACAGAGACATAAGTGATTCTGAAGTAAATCACAGGGGCATTGGTGAACTTTTTCCTATTTTTTATAATTTAAAAAAAGATATACAAATACTAATTTGTAACGAGAAAGATTTTTTCCTAAAGAAAAGAAGCAATTTTTGGGGGGAAAAAAACTATCCAAATGGACTGTATTTATTATGCCTTCATGTCCAAACTATTTATCAAATTATTTTTCTTTTGATTATTGCGCTCGAGGCGATTAATATATTAATTCACGTGACTCATGCATATTCAATATTTAAATTGTACAACATTGACCAAAACACATTTTAAACTTTTTCCCTTCCCTCTATGAACAAGTCATTCATTGTGATAAGAAGTTTGACAAATGATAATGTTTCCTTATCCTTGGGTTTGTTATAAAAGAAAATTAAATTTTCAACAGGGCACAAAGTCCAGTAATCCAAATTAAACGATTATATTGTTTCGCAGAATTATCATGTGATGAATTCAAAATTTGAGTAATGATATTAGAATTAGTGTTTCTCGTGTTATAGTAGATAAATTTATTTTATACTTATATATAAAAATATGTGGATCTTATATTTATTTTTTCTCTTTTTTTACATGAATTCACATGGATTTCATATATGTATATATAAGAGATAAAATTATCTCTTATAAAATGACAAAGATTAATCCTAACCATATTATACCAAAATCTTTGTTTTCAAAAATGAAAATTCATATTAATTAATTAAAAATATTAATTAATTTATTTAAAAAAAGAAAGAAAGAGTACCTCAATTATTTAGAGTGCGTTTGGATTGCCTTTAAAAAAAAGTTACTTTTATGCCCTATTTATTTCATAAGTGCTTTTTATTAAAGTTAAAACTATTTAGATTTTTTTAAAAATAATTTTTTTTTGAAAAAAAAAATTAACTTTTGACTTTTGCTTTTTTAAGAAGCTAAAATTTTTAGCTTCTGAAAAAAGTAAGTTTTTAACTTTTTTTATGACTTCTGCTTTTTTAAAAGCAGCATCCAAACACACTTTAAAATAAAAGTGCTTTTTTTTGGAAAAAAAAAAAATTTCTGAATAAAAAAAAGTCATCCAAACGAGCCGTAGTCCTTTATTGTAACTTCTTTACCTTCCGCTTCGGTTCTGCACTGCAAGTGTGCACGCGTGGTATCTTTCTTCGAACGTTGGATTCCGCGATGGAGGATGTAATCCGATCGACCATAACAGGATAGGCAAATCTTTCATGGTTTGTTCTTTAACTGTTTCTGACTCTCGTTTCTCAATTTTCTTCTTCTGCTTCTTCATCTCTCTCTCTCTTTTAACGGGGTCACTACATTGGTTTACTTTTTCAAAGTTTTTCATCAATGGGTTCATTCCAGGGAGGGGATGGCTTGTTCCCATTTGTATTCGGTCATTCGAGATCCGAGTCCAAGATCTGCTATTTTTTTATCTTTTTATCTTTTTTTCCGGAAGGGGTGTTGCGTGTTTGTTTGTTTGAACTTTGACCTTTGAATGATTGAAATTGATATACCTCTGCTAAGCGTAGAAAAACTCTCTAATGGAGTTTTCCCTTCATTTTATTGAGTTTTTGCTTGTAAAATTGACGAAGCAAGTTTTACCAAAAAAATAAATTTGACAAAGCTAGTATCTTTTTGACTTTTATTTGATAGCGTGAGACTTGAAAGTACTTGATTCTTTGTTTGGTGGTGTTATATTGGAACTATATTTTGTTTTTTGGTTTTATGAACTTCTGATTTTATGATTCTTAGAAAAGCCCCTTTTTTGATTGGTGTAGAAATTAAGGATTACCGGTAACAATAGACAAGCTTCCATTGCAATGGGGGAGGTCACCGAGGGTGAGTATGTGCCTGTCAATGAATTACCTTCCCCCAGGGCAAATCACATGAAGAAAGTTTCAGTTCTTCCTCTTGTGTTTCTCATCTTCTATGAGGTTTCTGGGGGACCTTTTGGTGTTGAAGATACTGTGCAGGCTGCTGGTCCTCTATTAGCCCTGCTTGGGTTCTTGGTTTTCCCATTCATATGGAGTATTCCTGAAGCTTTGATTACTGCTGAGATGGGTACCATGTTCCCTGAAAACAGTGGCTATGTGGTTTGGGTTTCCTCTGCTTTGGGTCCCTATTGGGGGTTTCAGCAAGGTTGGATGAAATGGTTGAGTGGGGTGATAGATAATGCTTTATACCCAGTTCTATTTCTTGATTATCTGAAGTCAGGAATCCCTGCATTAGGTGGTGGCTTACCTAGAGTTGTTGCAACCTGGGGTCTGACAATACTTCTCACTTATTTGAACTATAGGGGATTAACCATTGTGGGAGGGATTGCTGTTTGTTTAGGGATTTTCTCACTCCTACCTTTTGTGGTTATGGGGTTGTTGGCAATTCCAGACTTAGAACCTTCAAGATGGGCTGTGACAAACCTAAATGATGTTGACTGGAATTTGTATTTGAATACTCTATTTTGGAATCTTAATTATTGGGACTCCATAAGTACTCTTTCTGGAGAAGTGGAAAATCCAAAGAAAACTCTTCCAAAAGCTCTGTTTTTTGCTCTGATCCTAGTAGTTCTGAGTTACTTCTTTCCTCTTCTAATTGGTATTGGTGCTGTTCCCGTCAATCGTGAGTTGTGGACTGATGGGTACTTCTCAGATATTGCCATGATTGTTGGAGGAGTGTGGTTGAGATGGTGGCTTCAGGCAGCAGCTGCAATGTCAAACATGGGAATGTTTGTTGCAGAAATGAGCAGTGACTCTTTCCAGCTTCTAGGGATGGCTGAGAGGGGAATGTTGCCTGAGTTCTTTAGCAAGAGGTCTCGCCATGGAACCCCACTTATAGGAATACTTTTTTCAGCCTCTGGTGTAATTTTACTATCATGGTTGAGTTTTCAAGAAATTGTAGCTGCAGAGAATTTCTTGTACTGTTTTGGAATGATTTTAGAGTTTATTGCATTCATATTGCTGAGGATCAAACACCCCAATGCATCTAGGCCTTACAAGGTACCAGGGGGAACGGTTGGAGCAATTCTTATGTGTATCCCTCCTACAATATTGATTTGTGTGGTATTGTTTTTCTCCTCCCTCAAAGTAATGGTTATAAGCCTCATTGCTGTGGCGATTGGCCTTGTGATGCAGCCTTGTCTCAAATTTGCCGAGAAAAAGAGATGGATGAAGTTCTCCCATAGCTCTGAGCTCCCTGATTTTGACAATGAGGAGAGCACTCACTCTTTGGTGCATTAATTTGTCCTCTTTCGATTATGTTTTGAATTTTGATAATGGGGACAGGATTTACTCTGAGGTCTTGAAGCATAATAGTTATTGTTTCAACATCTCTGAACACAACCACCGTTGAAGGGCAGCTTTGTATCCTATGCTTTTGACACTTGAGCTATTTATCTATGTTTGTAGTTTGATCATAGATGAGATGGCAATAAGAAACCTGGAAGCTAGTATTTAGAATGTCATTTATTTGGTTTCCCTGTATTATTCATGCAATGATGCTCATCAACTCATTTGAGCAGCCAACTTGAAAATGTTTTAACTACAGCCCGCAGTTAAGCCTATAGTGATTGCACTGGAAAGGAGTAATGTCTTTTTTTTTTTGAAGATTTTTTTTCGAATTTTTTTTTTTCCGGATTTCATCAGTATCAAAGAGAAGCCAAATCAATCGTGGTGCCAATATCTAATCCAAGTTGCTGATTCTGCATTGACAGCATTGTAATATTCATTGTCAAAGCACACGCAGGAATGATTTTCATTTTCATCGTCTGCAACAAAGTTACTTTGTTTGGCGTGTCTGAAATTATCTCCTGGTAAGCCTCATAATCATGCAGCCGAACACTGAAATTACAATGCAGCAAATTTTAAGTCACATGTTATGCTTCTTTGAGTTGAGTCAGGTTAATATGTTTGGCATGTCAACTTTAGCTTAATGCGAATCTTTAACGTAGTAACTGGAGTTAATAAAATAGTTGTCGCAATCAATTTCTAAATAATTGGTGCATAAACAAAATACAATAAAGTCATCTAATAGGATTCTTTTATTATTTAATATTTGCCATATGACTCCATCCTATTCAGGAGCATATTTTTCATGTCATAGGAGTAGATATTTTCTTATTAAAAAGGGGAAAAAATAAAAGAAAATAACCATATTATAAATGTGTTTTTTTTTACATATTTAATAAAAGACATGCGAAGTATTCGATTCATATATAGTATTGAAAATATTTTCTATATAGGGTAAGAAGTCAGAGCATCGTTCTTGTTTTAACTTTTAACCCATCGCCTTCGATTTCATAATCAACCACTGTCACTTTCACAATCATCACATTACGTCGTCCCTGCCACCACTTGTGAGCGCTGCCATTATAATTGTCGTCATCGTTGTCAATACCATTCTTCATTTTTCGTGTTAATGAGAAAATCACCACTTTAGGGCTTCAGCGACTTATTTCACTTTTATTAGGTGTATAGGGTATATATTTGTGTACCAAACAATAAATTATATCATTTATCACATTTTATTTAAACTGCTATATATTTGTTTATAGGAATAGCTTATATATACTAACTTATTTCTTATTTTTCTAAATTTTCTCTCTTAAATAGTAGAGTCATATTAGTTATATATTTCAATTACTATACTGTTCTAAATTTCTAACTAACAATGCAATAAAAAACAATTAACTTTGAATATAATATCACTTTCACTTTTTCTCGGGCTTATCTTCACGTCTACATTGAATCTGGATACATTTTCATTGCATAAATACAGTGAACTGGATTCCCGGGGAGAATTTCCATTTTATCGCCTACAAAACTTGCCCATTCACAAATATTAAATTTTTTTCTTGTCCACGTGCATGTGAAAGTGAGTGTGCTTTTGCTTGTTTTGAAAGGTAGTGGTTTGTCATTGCTCCCCGACATTTCTGCACAAGTTTTTAATCTATACGATTCAGTTTCAGAACAAACTTTACACGCTGTTGTACGCCATGATCCACGAGGGTTCTTGTCTTCTTGATATCATACAGGCGGTGACTCGGTGAGGCATTATTTTTATATATTGAGCAGCTTTATTTTCCAAATAAGTTCCTCGCACTAACTACACTTTTTTAAAAGTTTGACCCAAGCAATACGAGTCTTCGATCAAGTTACATTACCATTGCTTTCGCTTTATTGTTTGTAGAGTAAATATCCTTTTGATTTTTAACCAAAAAAAAAAACATACGATCTTTATTTTAGTCTATTACAAAAAAAAAAAATTAGTTTCTAGGTTCTTAAAAAATTTAAAATGGATCCATTTTAATCCTAATGTGAAATTTTTTGAATTTGTGAGGGACCACGATTTCAACTAAATGGATCCACTTTGAATTTCGAGACCTCGAGGAGAGTACTTTTCTTTTGTAAGAGACTAAATTGAGAACTGTATTTTTTGTCAAAGATACAAAAAGATATTTACTCTTGTTTGTAAGTTTCTACATGTAAAGAATTTGACCTTAAGCATTTCGAATATGAGCGATAAATATCAATAAATCTTTCATGTCTCGCTTAACACACTCTTTTTCTCTCGGCATCATTAATTGGCCAAATTATATGAAATGAGTCATGAAAGTATCCATGTGCAAATTGTTTTTAGATGGAACGATTTTTCTTGGTGTACGATTTCTGTATTATGATTATTTTGTATCAAGTACCGTATATCAAATAAGTAAAAGAATATTTGACGGGTCTTATGAAGTAACAAAGTAAATGATTGGTTTTGCGACTGTTGTCTTTATGAGCTCCATAAACATTTTATTTTTCCGTGATAATTAGGTAGAATTGCATTATTTAGTTTTTGTTTTTTGGGACTTTTTGTCAAGTTAAATCCCAAAAGCCAAGCTTAACTATAAGTAAAAAATGTTTTTTATTTTGATTTTAATCGTTCAATGCCTTTTCGAGGTCACCACCTAGCAAACGTTTTCGAAATTCGCAAATTCAGATTTAAAAAAACCGCCTTATTATAAATACCCGCTAAGTTAAATTAACCGCTCAAACTCACATCCAATAGCTCAATTTGAAATTCGTGAAGAGGGAGATGAAGAAGAGGGGAACGAAAACCAAATTAACGGTGACCGATCTTTTGAAAACACCGTCGCCGGTGGCTTCTCCGGCGGATGAGTCTCCGAAATCGGCGATTTTCTCGAGAGCGGCTTCTACCTCCAAGGGCGTCAAGAGAGTAACCGTTGCTCTGGCCAGCAGCACTTCTCCACCTCGCGGTCACAGGGCTCCGAACAACATCTCCGACCTCAAGAACCTCGCCTCTTCAGGTGTTGACGATCTCAAGCGCCGGATCGATCGCTCTCACTCTGAGATCCTCAAGGATCTCGAAGCTTCTCATTCGCGTCTCCACAAGCGTTTCAAGGTTTCTTCTTCTCACGCTTTCTTGCTCACTTTCTTACAAGCTGTATAATCGCATTTCTGTGATTGTGAACTTTTCGTTTGGTTGCTCGGAGAACACATGGAATTTTTTTTTATGAAACTACTAAAAACTGTTCAATGACTAGGACATATCAAACTTGCGTTCGAATTCTTTGATTTTATTCACATTTTATTGGGAGCTACAACAGGTTATGGAAGATTCACGTTGTTGCCTCAGTCTTCTTGATGCTTTTGTCTTGCTAGCACATTCAGATCTAGTTTAGGAGAAAAGTGATAGAACGTAAGTAGAAAATCAAATCTAGAGATTAGTCTCTCTGTGGTATATTTGGTGAACAAATCAACATTAGCAAACCTGTAACAAATGTTTTAATTGAGATAGATCGTTATATTAATCATTAATCACTTGGATGCTTCTCTTAATGAAAAATTTAGATGCAGACTCAAGCATGCCAGCAAGTAATGGATGAAGCAGAGAAGGAATACAAAAAAGTCTCTGGATGGATTACGGAAAGCCGAGAAGCAATGAAGGTGTTGCCTCCTTCATTATCACTTCAAACTATCGTTTGGAAACATGATAAGAATCTAACGGCTTTTTTTCAGGCTTCTTATGAAGAGTTCATGGCAGATGCACAGGCCAGCGCAACTCGTGGTATGCATAGTATAGCAGAATCAAGTCCAAGTGCTTTAACTGTGATTCATGACTAGTATCTTACGCGTGATTTACCTACACTGCTTCATTTTCTACTACTTCAAAGAATGGAAAATAGAATCTTCTTTTTAGGTGTAGTTTATTACCTGCTCATTGTTCAACATCTTTGTTTTGATATATCCCTTAATATTGAATTTGAGTTTATGCGCACACATATGCTGCGTTAATTTGTCAGATAGTAATTTTCAGTAAAAATTTCAGCATGCAAAACTTCTATCGCGGAGCTCTCGCAGTCATCTGAGAAGGCCATTGACTCTCTTCGAAACCGTTATGGAATCTCAACAAATTGAGTTAATTGACCATCAGTAGGTAGATGTCTACTGATTGCTTGAAGCAAAGTATCAATTCTCTCTGTCTTTCATAGTTTATGGGACTATGCACAGTTGCTTTATATCCATTCAACAAATTACAGTTTCCTTGAATGATTGTATGCATGTAGTGTTGACATATTCATAGGCCTAGCGTGCATCACAGTAATTTTACTTAAGTTCAGATTAAATGATAAATCTTCATAATTGTTTTTTGTTTTCTTTTTGAGTACATCTCTTGTATTCGTCACATTCCAGCAAGTGCAATTCTGTAGTAAAAAAAAAAAGTCTTAAAATTGCAAGGGTAAATAATCCCGAAACATTTTTTACAGATCATAAAAATGCAGCTGTGGTAAAAAAGAAAAGAAAAGAAAAAGCAACATCCTCACTGAGAGCAAACTTGATTTATTTGGTTTTGGCCTTCTGGGTCATAGATTTCTGCAGAGACGTCTTCCCTTTCAAATCTAACTTGATCAACACTTCTCGAATTAGAAATTTCGATGCTCAGGAAAGGGACAAAGTAGCAGTCTGGATTCTGGAGGGCAGTAATCAGCATGGGAGAGAATTTGGAGGATTAATTTTTTTTTATCACACTGAATTTTCATTATTTTAACATCTTCGTCTTGTTTAGCTCATAATCCTCCTGTACATATCTGATACACAAAAGAATGAGGAAATATGCAGTTCACTGTTACTACTGTAAATCAGGCTGTCGACAATTGTGGCTGTAATGCAGGTAAATTTGCCGCCGCAGGTCAGTTATATTCAAGGAGTATAGATGAGCTATATGAAACTATTCCACTTAATCCACTATCAAATAGATTTAACCACATAATTTAAGCAAGAACTACAGATTTCTTAAAAACCTGTTTTAAAATTAAATTATGTGTTTGATAAATTATTAATTAATTATCTTTTATCACCTCAGCTCAGCAAGTGATTAAATAGTTAAACTTATTTGACGGTTTGATTAAGTGCAATTCTATAAAAACCAACTTACAAATTTCATTAACCCTACCAAATCAATCTTGCACAAACAGGCAATAATAGATCCAGCAAAACAGCAATAGACATCAAAATATCTGTAACAACTTAAGTAAGAAAATATTTCAAGGAAAAAAGAAAGAAAAATAATCCAGCAACAAATAATAATTGTCTATGTGTATTATGAAAATAAATTATATAGTTTTTTAGAATACAAAAGTTGAGAGACTTAGATCAAGTATGTCATTAGTGTCATTACATTTTACTCAGTACACAAAATTGACTAAACCAAACATGTTAACCAGCTTATTTTTCCAAACTAGTTTGATTTTGGTAAACTGATTTAGAATTGGTTTAGAACCATTCAGGTTCGGCGGTTCAAAACTAATTTAGGTTCAAAACAAGATTACAACCAAATTAGATTCAGAACCAGTTATAAACTACCTTCCAACCAGTTCAGAACTAGTTTTTCGCCTCAGTTCTCAAAAACCAGAACCACTTTTGGACTGGTTCTCTGCCTTACTAGCTAAACGGGGAATATATAGGGAAATCCCAGCATTAGCTGCCAAGAGAGATGGACCCACCAATTCAAATTTTAGTCTAATTGTTTTGCCTACCAAATCATCTCACATCTATAACAAAGTTAGAATATAAATTGAATGATAATATATAAAATATCTTAATATTTCCAAGATTTCCCATCAAATTTAATGACAACAGCGCCGGGACGGAACCCAGCACGGTCACCAGAGAACCCAGGAGTTAACTAGTCAAATAAGTTATTCCCTGTAACAAAACATGTAGTTTTTTTTTTTTTTTAATGTTATAAAAAAAAAAATGTAGTTTTAAGTATTCTAAGGGGAATACAATGTATATTATTCCAAAAAAGAAACATTTGCATACTGCGGATAATTACAATGAATAAGTTAAATTAAGATAAATCAATTCAAACGGATAATTACATGTTTGTCATATTATTGTCTCATCAGAGCGTGCAGAACTGGCCTTTAGTATCTTTTCATTCTTTAACTTCTGCATTAACAAAATCCCATCCCCAAAATCCTTATAAATTTTCTCCATCACTAATCAAATTAAACAATGTAGCTCAAGACAGTCCCTGTACTTTTAGTTTCTCATTTTTCTAGTTTACTATCTCATTATCATTCACAAATACAAAACATCCATCCCTAATTCTGGAAACACCTCCCCCCCACCCATAACAACAAAAATAATATATATATATATCCACAAAGAGTTATTGCTCAAGAATGCAGTCTGCTACATAAAACAAGCTTGTGACAGTGTGAATTTCAGCTATATATAATGCAGTGCTTCAATACAAATATTCTCTTTGGATTGTATCCAAAAAAAAAAAAAAATTCTCTTTGGAAAGCTGACATCCTAACAAAAAGAAATACTAGTTATTGGCCAAATCATTGCTCTCAAAGAGGGCAGAGAACATTTCAACTAAAATCCTTTCCTTGTAATCACTAACCAGCTTTGGCAACATATTTGCAGCTAATTTATCTCAAAAAAAAAAAAAGCATAGAGATTTTGTCCAGTGAATCTAGATTTTGAAAAATTACACAAAAAAGAACATTTGCTCATAGTGGCACATTAGAGTGTGCACATAAGTAGGCTAGATAGAAAGTATCAATTAGGGACACACCATTGGTACAAGAATGCCCTTATTGACATCAGAATGAAGCATCTTTCTTTTTAAGCTGTGCAGTAATCATCTCATTAAGATCCAGCATCTTGAGCTCAAGCCAAGGCCGTACTACGCTCTTGAACAACATTAAATAATATTTATTGACTTCCTCAATATAGCAGACCTCAACTACTCAAGAATGAATTTGACATAAAAATATTTAAATCACTAATGCTTTATGAACTATAATATTTTATAAAATGCAAAAAAATTGTAAAATATTGTGCATAATTTAACTTTCTAGAAAGTAAAACATCCTATCTGAATGCTGGAAATTTCTATGGGTCTATAATTACATGTCACGGCTCTGGGTGTTCAAGTATAGAGTGAAATGACAAATTACAATGCTTGATTAGCAAGCCTACAAGATTCAAATGAAGCTTGTAAGATATTAAGATAAGACAATGTTGAAAGAAACATTTAATGTTATTGATTAACAGCATTAGCTCCTGGTGTTAAGTCCATTCCATATTGGCACTTAAGCAGCAGGTATATTTGACTATATGGCAAGCCAAAAGGAGCATGTTAGCAGATATCTAGAAGACAAACACTCGATTGAAATGAAAGCATATCAGTTATAAAAGTAGCAATACCTGCAATAGGTGCACTATTTGATCTTGAATGAAGGGCGTAGGGGGAAAATTACTAATTTTATACCAGGACAAATAAGTAAGAGCTGGTAGCTGCAACACAAGACCGTCCCAAGTTGTAAAATCACAGCAAAATGTAAAAGCAGATTTTATAGTAATGTAGAGGAAACTAAATGACTTGGGTGAGCCATTTGGGGCAGCAGATTACAATACGATGTCAACATTGTAATAAAGAAACTAAATGACCAAATCAAAATTCATAATACCAAGCATTCGTAAACAACCAATTATCAATATTTAGATTAAAAAATGGAGACAAATATCATTAAATCAGTTAAAAGGTATATACAATCTACTTGTAAACGAGAAAGGAAAAGGCCACACCATCCAATACTGTACCATCCCTTGAGTAATGTACACATTGTGAAAACTCCTTCAAATATTGTGGTTCTTAAGTGAAAAAATGCGTACATCAATGATGCAGCATGACAAATAATGAATCTTTACAGACATAAGCACGAAACCTCAAACATCCAAGAGTGCTACCATTACTTTTATTATTATTATTATATAGTTAAACCCTAAAAAGTTAGCATCCTTTCCTACAAACCGAATCAAGGCGACAAACTATTGTAATTACATGCTTTCCTAAAATATAAAACTTTAAAACATATCTGTCCTCATTCCAAAGATGTGATCGAGTTATGACAACTTATTATCTTTGCAATGAAAAGGAGACTTCCCCAGAAGCCACACCTGTTGAAGAATACCCCTCGCGACGAGAATGATGCAGAAAAGGAAAGAGGAAACATGAAGAATGGAATGAAACATAAAAAAAATTTGGACCATTTCTCGATTTGTGCGTGTCATCCTTGCGCAGGGGCCATGCTAATCTTCTCTGTATCGTTCCAATTTTATCGGATGTCCCCGAAGGGACAAACCCTATGGTTGAGCACCTGTTTATAAACACTGTATTGTCGTAGTATTAGCCGATGTGGAACTCCAGTGGCGTGTGCAATCCAATGACTAACAACACAAATACCGCTCAGCCTCTGCAGAAGCAAACATGAAGGAAGCATCTCTCAAACTGCTGGGAGTTTTTCCCTCGAAGCAGATCAGGGAAAGATATGAATATTTTTAATGTATTTTTTTATATGCTTTGGGACAAAGAGCGGGCGGTGTAAATAAATACAAACCAGGTGCCCTTTAATACTATCCGTAGCCTTGTAGCTTTTTTTTTTTTTTTTTTTTTGATAACATGCCTTGTAGCCTCTTTGATTACTCTCTGCTCTATACTCTGCAACTTAGTTTTGATTTGACATCTCAACTTTATGTTTATTCATTTATTATTATTCTATTATTTTATTTTCTATATTTCTCTCTCTCTTTTAAGAAAGAAATTAAAATTATTCTGTTCTATCACTTTATATTTAAATATACAAAATCTATTTTGAGGAGAAACTTTGCACCTGTTTTTTCACTTCTCCAGTTATCTCAAAATACCACATCTCAAGTGGTATTCTGTAACAGAGAATTTCATTCAAAAATCAATACAAAAGTCATCTTCTCATCTATCCTATTTGCCTGGTATTTTTTTGAAAAAACCTGAACCAAACGTGGTATTTTTCAATATTCAGTTACACTTTCTCATCAATCCCAAAATAAACCTTCAACCAAACACTACCTTAAGGAAAAAGTGTTTGTCATTTTAAATGACAGAAAATTATGTCATTTTAAGAAAGATACAAACATTGAAAATTTAAATTTTAAATTAAAAAAACCATTCAATACTGTGCCTTGTAGCCTTGTAGCCTCTTTGATTACTCTCTGCTCTATACTGTGCAACTTAGTTTTGATTTGACATCTCAATTTTATATTTATTCATTTATTATTATTCTATTATTTTATTTTCTATTTTTCTTTCTCTTTTAAGAAGGAAATTAAAACTCTTCTTCTGTTACGTCACTTTATATTTAATATAAGTAAATCACTATTACCGTGAAATTTTGTATAAACATCACAAACCCATAATACATCCTTATCCTATTAAAATTGATCAAATCTTTTATACTAAATTATGAAAGGGAAAAAATACGATGTTACACAAAAATTCTAATCTCATGTCATAAATATTATAAGAGTGAGATCCATTTATTTTTAAAAAAAACAAAAAACAAAAAAGGAATGATACATTTTTTTTATAATATCTATAGAAAGAATTTATTTATTCCTCTCATATGAGAGAAACAAATCCCAATTATAAAATAATGGGCAAAATAATTAACTAATTGCATTTTAATAAAAAATTATGAATTTCTTATTGTTTTGGAATTATTTACGCGTGTATTGCAATGTGTCTTGCCCGAATTGGGTGTCACCTGCCACGCCTAAGTTAAGCGTCTCCTATGAGGCAGTCACGTCTAAATTAGGCATTACTCATATAGTATTGACACGTGTCACAAAAAATTCATATTTTAACCGTAAAACTTCTAAAGGCCATAACTTTTGACTCGGGTATCCGAATCCGAATTTTTTTTATTCCACATAACTTTTCGAGATATACGCAATGACACCTCATTTGGCATATTTTATCTCTCACAAACACAATTCGAATTTGCAACAAAGATATTATAAGAACATTTAAACCTAGAAGCCTCCGAGTTATTTTGGAACCAACGTCAAACACAATCTTCCTTTTAAAAATAGTAAATACCTTTTTTCGTCCTCACGAAAAAACACAGGGTCCATTTTAAGGGAAAATATATTGTAACAATCAATTAGTGTTACTACCAATCAATTTCACCGTTAGATCGATTATGTTGATCCAACGGTTATATTTATTTTCATCTTTGTGTGGTTATGATTCCTCATATTTAATACTTTATATTTATTTCTATCTTTGTATGGTTATAATTCTCCATATTTAATATTTTATATTTATTTCCACCTTTGCATGTTTATGATTTCTCATATATAATACTTTCATATTAAATATGGAGAATCATAACTATAAAAACATGGAAATAAGTATAACCGTTGGATCACCATAAATGATCTAACGATGAAATTGATTGGCAGTAATATTGGTAGTAACACTGATTGGTTGTTACGATATCATATCCCCCATTTTAATCCATTAAAAAAAAGTCGACTACAAAAAAAAAATTCAAAATAAACTCAATTAATTGAAATCGTGGTCCTTCAAAAATTCAAAGAAGACCTATGTAATTTTTTTGGCTTGGAAGTCCGAAGCAGATGATTTTTTTATTCCACATAATTTTTCAATATCTACACGCGAAAATTTTTTCGGAGAATTATTTGTTAATGCTGGGAAGTAAAAATTTAAATAACATCATTCACAAAGATGAATGAAATATGTCAAAGGGACATCCAATTGCAGGCTTTTCATGAAACATGCTTTGATAAAAGGAGCCGTAGCGAAAGCGAGCCTTCATAGGGCAATTGTCACTGCTTATGGACCCGAACCTGGGTGATCTATCCATGACCAGGATGAAGCTTGGGTGAAACTAAGTGGAGGTCCGAACCGACTGATGTTGAAGAATCAGCGGATGAGTTGTGGTTAGGGGTGAAATGCCACTCGAACCCAGAGCTAGCTGGTTCTCCCCGAAATACGTTGAGGCGTAGGAGTTGACTGGACATCTAGCGGTAAAGCACTGTTTCGGTGCGGGCCGCGAGAGCGGTACTAAATCGAGGCAAACTCTGAATACTAGATATGACCTCCAAATAACATATATATGTTCGTAATAATGCATAAGAACATATATGTTCGTAATAATGCATAAGAACATATATGTTCGTAATAATGAATAGAGGGAAAAAAAATAGAGAGTAGACCTCACCTTTGATTTGTGAGTGCATAAAAAAAAAATTCTCATATCATATGAGAGTAATATTCCAAAAAAAAAAAATGTAAAACATTAAACTTTAATACACGGGGGAAGCCACCCCTTAAGATAAAGCTAAAGAAGGATAGGACATCCTAAACAGTCTTTTCATCAAAAGATTACATGTTATAATAATAATAATAATCACCTCAGTAAAAAGAAAGAAAGGAAAATAAATAAAAATTTAGGAGGAAGAAAAGAAAGATTATTTTGATTTTTGAGGTTTTGCAGTGCAAAACCGCGAACAAAGAAGGAAGAGAAGAAACGGAAGAGTGGAGAAAGATGGGTAAGGGTAATCCGCACAGATCGACGACCGCCGGCGACGACCTTCATGCGGCGGCAAGGTCCGGTGATCTCATCGCTGTTCAGTTAATTTTGAGTTCAAATCCTTTGGCTGTTAATTCCAGAGATAAGCATTCCAGAACACCGTATCCTCCTTTTCTCTTTCATGAATATTAATTGTTAACGCTATGTATGGGAACCCTAAGATTCTTTCTCTGCGTTTGTTATAGATGCTCTTATTCGATAGCTTCAATGGAAATTAGTCTTTATTATGTAGCATTGACATTTAGTTGGTTCTTTTCGTGATGATTCATTGCCTGGTTCCTTTTCTTCGCAAATTGCATATTTTACCTATCTAGGTTGAACAATGAATTTTATACATGATTATCTGAGAGCATTAAAGAATTAGATGAGAGGATCATACTAGAATGCTATTTATTTGCTTATTTATTAGGGGAGTCTTACATGTTCCTTAGAATAGATATTTTCTTGAATGGAAAGAGCGACGCTTCATGTTTTATCTGAAAGTGTCCTGTTAAAATCATATGTCCATCCCTTTGAATATGGATTGTTGAATATTTTTTTCTTCAGATTGCATGATTGTATTCTAGGCAGAATTGGAAATGAGGAAGAAAATTTTATTTTGGGTGAAGTTACTAGTTTTTTCTTGGGAATTTCTAGCATTGCCACCTTGTTTCTTTGACAAGCAACTTTGAACCATAGACTACATTTAGCAGCATTTTCTGGGCAAGCAGAGGTAGTGAGTTATCTCTGCAAGCACAAAGCTGATGTTGGTGCATCTGCTATGGATGACATGGCCGCGATACACTTTGCCGCGCAGAAGGGACATTTGGAAGTCATTCGGGCTCTGCTTTCAGCTGGGGCCTCTGTCAAAGCCTCTACCCGCAAAGGCATGACTTCATTGCACTATGCTGCTCAAGGTTCCCATCTGGAACTTGTTAAGTATTTAGCCAAGAAAGGGGCAAGTCTTAGTGTCAAGACAAGGGCAGGAAAGACCCCTTTGGATCTTGCTACCAATGAAGAAGTCCGCTCCTTTCTCGAGGAATTTGAAAGATCAGCTAAGAATGGAGGATCTGGAAACAAAGATAAAGCTGAAGAATCTGATCCAAATTCATCCACATTGGTATCGGAAGGTAATTTGAGTGCTGAACCTCCTGCAGCTTCTGTTGATGAAGAAAATGGTGAGAGGGAGAAGAGGAAGGGTAATGAAGATGAGGCAAGAGAAGACTCATCACAACCAAAAAAGGCGAGAGTTAAGTTAAGCCATCTCCAAAGTTCAGATGATGCCCAAGAAGAAGAAAACCTGTAGGTTGGCAGATGCATAGTAGAACAAAATTTTGTTATTATAATCTGTAATAGTGCCTGATTTGGAATCCCTTTGTTGGGTTAGTAGACTTGGATAATCTATTGACTGTTTAGTGACACTTTCTTCTGTATTTATACAATTTTATCATCTTGAAAACTTCTCCTGTTGAGATGCCACTTTCCTTTTCAGCAGATACTTATAGGACTTTTGAAGTTAGCCTCTGTACTTTTCTTCTTTTTTCTTTTTCCCATCTTTCCAAAAAAAAAAATAGTTGTTCAACACACCGGTAATCACAATATGCAGGTAAACGATGGAATACACGTCTATAATGACAGTTTTCATAACCTAACTCTGTCTCACACACTAGTAGACAGTCACATGTCCTCTGCTGTGTAATAAAGGTGAGACCAAAATATCGTATAAGACAGGTGACATTCCATTTTTTTTCAAAAAAAAAGATAGCTCTATTAGTTATCAGCATTTTGGAGAAGTTGTTCAAGAAAGAGCTCGGTAATATCTAATCAATCACAAAGCTTTGAATTCATTAAAATGGGTATAATGAACTAAGTCGTGCTCATCATAAAAATGGGTATAAATGTCCATTTCAAGGTGGAAAATTTTTTAGGCTTGCTTCTATAAATACACAATGTAACAATTAACAACATCCAATATCAAGAGAATTACAGAAATGTACATAACAGCACAAGCGGCTGCATTTGAATTCAAGTGACTCCAAACATATTTTTCCTTTGTGCCTTGAAGATCTAGCCAAAAAGCTATAAAGCACATAAAAGAAGAAAACAGAATCTCAACTCTCAATGATACTGCTCCATTAAGCGACTTACATTTACAAGGCTGAGCAGCAATTGAACAAACATTAAAATCTCCGCCAGTCTAAGTTCTTTACAACTCATCCATCCTACAACCAGATTAACATCAGTCCCTGTCTCATCTTATTTCCTAAATGTTTTTAATTTCTTTTCTTTAAGCCTAGTTTGTGATGACAAGAATTAAAAAAATAAAATAAAAAGGAAATACATTTCTAAAACTGTTTCTAGTATGTGTCCCATTAAACCCAGAAGATGTATCAACTGAAAACATAACGATATAAATCTCACAGCAGGCTGCAGAGTTAAATGTTATGGAATGAAATCCAGTCAAAGTATAGAGCTGAAACTTTCGATGGGATCAGATTCTTCAAGCATGGAAGCTGCTTGAAAGCAGTCAGCAGCATCACTTATTCGGCCATCATGCTTGTGAACCAACCCCAAGCAAAACCAAGCATTGCGGTTAGTGGGTTCTATTCTAAGTGCATCAGACAGTAAGCTTCTTGCAGCAGGCGAAACCTTTGAATCCATTTTCTGAAGCAAAGCACCCGTCAAAATCTTGCTTGGAACATAGTTTGGTTCAAGTAGGACAGCATTAAGAGTAGCATCAAGAGCTTCTTGAATTTGCCCACGTCCCTCAAACAAAACACCTGGCAGAAGCATACAGGAAAATATAAAATGTTTATCATAGAGTAGGTCCCCTCAAATATTAATATCAAACAAGCACATAATTCTTAGCTCTTTTATATGCTCTACCTTCGCATCCTCAAAGGGTGTCACTTTACATTCTTAAAATTTTTAAGATCATTACATGTGGATCCTATAAAGAGGGCAGGCCTCGAGCAATGGTGAAATTGCTCCTTGTGACTGAAAGATCACGGATTTGAATCTGGGAAACAACTTTTTTGCAAATATATAAGTGTAAGCTACATACAAGGATTGACCTCACCCTTACCTTTGTTAATCGGGGCTTAATGGGGAGTAATTTTTTACAGGTGGATCCAGCCTTAGGCCTATGACCAGTCATAAGGACTCCTACTTCAGTCTCAATTAGATAAAAAAGGGCCCCTATATGTTGTTAGTCACATGTGATTCTCCACGTAATCCATTTAGATATTGTTTTTTTTTTTCGGTTCCTGTTATTTGTTTCCTACTTCCTAGTTTAGGTTGATTAGGCCCATAAGCTAGTCAACCCTAAAATATTATTCTTCCATGTTTAGATAATTATAGCTTTTATTTCTTGATATTATGGGATTTGCTAGGCCAAATCTGTGTATGGTAGATGCCCTTAAATTGTAACCACCTTCATGGAAATAATAATATACAAAGAAAACCTATGCTCTGTTTTTCTACAGGATAAGGTCAACATGCTAAAATAGAAAACTTCAAACAGCACACAAGTTTTGGACTTGCCTTCAGTGTGCATAATTTCCGCGGAGTACTCCTTCAATTCCCTGGCCTTTTGCAAACAGATTTCAGCATCCTTCCAATGAGAAAGGCTAGCGTATAAATTTGCCAGACCATGCCAAATATCAGCTTCATTTACTTTATCAACCTCAACCTGAAAGAGTTGACAAAATGAAAGATTTATTATGGAATCAGCAATTTGTAAATGATGAGTCCCATGAAGCAAACGACATCACAGGGGGCATTCCTTTTTCTTTTTTTTACCCCATCAAACAACATCTTTCTTTCAGCAAAACCAAAAGAATGAGGAAGTGCTTAAACTTCAGTGTAAACGATAACAGTAAAAAAGAAAAATATGAGAGCATAACAGCATAAAAGCAAAAATGTAAAAAAAATCCTGGAACTTATACTGATTCATGGACACATCTTTGAAGTACTCATTTTACAGGATTATAGATAAAAGGGCCATCTCTATAGAACAAACTCAAATTTTTCACAGGTTACCTTTTTGCAACATTAAGAAATGACTGTTTCTGTGATTTTTGTTAGGTAATTAACATTGCGGTGATTTTTGGTTTCTTCTAAAAGACAACTATATAATGGTACAGAACTGTACGTTGGAATATCAACTTCTTTCCATATAACACGGGGGGAAGAATTTAGCATAATTGGAATCTCATTAAGAGCATTCAATTGACAGCAGATTTAGAGGAAATCCGGTTCCCACATTACATATTTTCAGCTATTACTAGTCTGAAGAAAAAATCGTTCAGACATGCTGAAGTAATTTAATTAAATAAATATTATAATCTACCAATCTCACATCAAACAGACATGTCTTGCTAATATTAAATAAGAGAATCCCTAAAAGAAGATAAGTAGATGGCAGAACTTACCTTTGAACTAATTCGGAGAGAACCAGAGGATTTCTTCTGGGCTTGAACCAACGCAAGTAGGTACCGATAAGTTTCAATGGCATCTATGGGTCGTGATTGGAAGATCTTCAGCTTTGCTTTCAGCCTAAGCAGTGGTCCTTGTTCCCATCTTGCAGTCTGATCTAAAGCAGCATCTGTTACCACTTCAGCTTCTAAAAATCTTTGTTGTGCAGACAAAATCAGGGCAAGCAATCTCCAAGATTTCAATATAGAGCCACCAGTTTCATTAAAGAAAAGCTTCGCAGAGCGCAAAGCAGCAGTCAAATTTCGGTGCTTTGCATATTGAACAGCCAACTCAAAAATCAGATCAGAATTGTTCGGCTCCAGTTTAGTTGCCTCCTCCAATGACTCCAGAGCTTTGGACTGAAGATGGGACCTCTCGAAGTCAGAGGAAGCAACCTTAGCTTGCTTTCCCAGACAAAGTCCCAACATCCGAAGCGCAACACCTTTCAAATGCTCGTTAGAACCCTGAGCATTACTGATTGCCCTCTCTGCATGGCCCACTCCCTCAGCAGCAAGATGGGGATCCTCACTGCAGATCTTAGCAGCTAACAATAGTGATGTAAGGTTATTTGGTTGTTCGTGTTTGTGCAAAGATTTCCTAAGCAGATTCAAAGCATTGTCATTTTGTCCAGCTCCACTATGACATAAAGCTAAAGAATTCCAACGATCAATACGATGGTATACTCCAGGCATCAAGTCCTCAAGTTGTTTTGCTAAAATAGAAGTTTGGTTACACATAGAAAGTGCAAAAGTCAGGTGTTCCATGACTGAAGGATCCCATTTCGTCTTACCAAGGCAAAATTTTCTCATAAGAATCATTAAAAGCAGAATTGCCTCTTCGATATTATTTTTAGGCACATAAGACCCTTCAATCTGAACTGCTAAACTAGGTGGACTAGCCTCTACCCCACTATACAGCAAAAAACCAACAAATGATTTCTGAATTCTTGCACAGCAATCATTATCAAGGTTCCATTGACTAAGAAGAGCACGCCTATAAGCACAGATTGCCTCATCATAGCAACCAGCTTGTTTCAAAAGCTCTGGAAGGAGTTCTACTGCATGGCTGACTATCTCTTGCAATTTATTATCCACTTGAATGTCAGGAATACCCTGATAAAATATCTTCTCAACAGCATCAAGAACACGTTTACAATCATTAGCAGCTTCTGCAGAATCCATTAAACAAGCATTTCAATTAGTTCAATCAGATTCAAAAATAGTGATGTAAGTGTATTTCAAGAAAAAAGCTGTGTTTTATTAACTGTGCGTTTTATGTAATTGGGTAATCGTTTTGGTAAAAGGTAGATACTGTGCATTATATTATATGTGGTTCTAACACATTCCTTTTAATATTCTTTCATTCTGATTGTTGCACTCTATCTCTCTTACATTTTTCTCTCTCTATTCTATGAAAACCCAAGAATTGGGGATCAGGGGTTTCCCTCGAAACCTAGATCCTGGTCCCCGAAATCTCTTCGATTCTCTTTGTTATTACTCTGTTCTATATGTGTTTTTGTTCATCCTTTGAGTTGCAGGCTTGAGATCGTGCAGAATCTTGAAGATTGAAGGAGATCTTGGTTCGTGACTTTGAGGAGTTGGAGGCAAGCTTGAAGGTTCTGTGTTCTTGGAGCTTGGTGGAGTCATCTCTGGTATTTTCGTGTTGAGTTGGCTGCATGTAGCTTCTGATTTATAATATCTGTTAATCTTGTAATACTTGAACTTAGGGTTTTCTTTTGGACTGTTATTGCTTGGCTGTTACTGCTTGGCTGTACGTGTTTTCTTGGTGTTTGTTTGGGGTGCTTTTAGTGCCCGGATTGTACACTTTATTTTGATCTAATAGTGCAAGAACACTGGGACTTTATCCCAGTGCCATTGGATGTAGGAAACTTGCTAACAACAAAGTTTCTGAACCAAGTAAATTCTTGGTGTCACTCTCTTTTATTTTCTGCAATTTTTCTTTCTGCCAAGTTGATTTTGTAATAAATAGAATGTCAAAAGTATAGGAGGAATCATTCCCATTCAGAAGAAAAAAATTAAGAAACTATACAACATGTGGAGAACAACTTTCAACAGTCAAGACCATATATTCAATACCTGTTAATTTCCCCAGCTTTTGTAGAGACTTGGCTTTTAAGTAGATGGCATCAAGCACCAAACTAGCAGCATGCTGAGAGACTGAGGAAGGTGAGTCAGTACGAGTGCGACCTTTCTTGACAGGTGGTTTTTCAGAAAAGGAAGGTTGCAATCGCTGTATGGCAGCTTGGAGATCAATCCCATCAAACACACGAAGAGCACCTTCTACATTACCTCTCTGATACTCCAACTTTCCAAGAAGAGCTCTTGCTTCCTGTTAAAGTTTTAAAAGCAACCATGGGGCAAAACTCAAATATCTGATTAATTTATGGGAAAAAGAAGTATAATGTTGTAGGAAAGTTGTTAGGTTACATTATAGAGATAGAGATAGAGAATGTGGGACCCACACTTGTTTTCAAAAACAAAAACAAAAAAAGTGAGTCCCACCATCTCTATTTCTATAACATAACCTAACAACTTTCCTACAATATCATACTTCTATTTCCCTTAATTAATTCCCAAAAATGTTGCTTTAATTCAGTGCAAAAAACAAGGGATGCAAAATATACCAAACATTTAAGAGGTAGTTTGCGTCAAATTTACATATCGTACCAATTATTAAGGTTTATTTCTTGTCTGGCACATTTATCTGGTTTCAAATCCAATTAAGTTATGCTCATGTACATAAATTATAATCCATGATATATTTAATGCTTATACAAGTGCAATGTGAGCACTGATCAGATCATGAAATAAAAATTCATGCTCTCGCAGATATGAAAATTTTATTCTGTGGTATGGAAGTATTCTAAGGTTTGACTCATATTTGAAGAAATTTACTCCCTAGTTGTTTAAGGTGTTAAAAATGACAAAATAGTTACGGTTACCTAGATAAGGGGGGCATTAAAAAAATATATAGTTAAAACCTTATAATTTTTGTCATTGCTTACTCTGCCATACCCTATGCAGACCATGTACACGTCAAACAACAGATTTCTAGTAACTACCCAAAACTTTTTGTTTGTCCAAAATATAATCATAGATTTCAGAGTCCAAACATAGCTCAAGGGGGAAAACAATGACAACTCAAAGGAAAGGCGTTATGAATGACATGTATTAATATATTCTCAGTAGTTTGGAGTTAGGAGGACCAGAGTCTTCTATGCCGCAAACGAAATCAATGAAAAAGAGATAATGATAGACACCAAAGACCTTCAAATTTGATCTAAAATTAAAGATTCAATTACATCCTATAAAACCAGGAAAACAATTATGTCCTTGAAATTTTTATGAATTCATTATTAACATAATTGATGACCTTGAACCTACTTGTCTTGATAGGTTATTCCAAATGGGGATATATGTCAAAACAACATAATGCAGTTTAAATAGTTAGCAATCATGAAGAGTAATAATCACATGCCAAATTCAAAAAAAGCACCCCAAGAAATAGAGAAAAAAGAAGTTTCAGAAGTTAAGTAACGACGGTTGCAGTCATTCAGCAACAAAGGGGAGTTTGAGCCTAGCTTCCTCCATTAAATCTAAATAGCAATTTGGTCCTTGATCTTTGCTTAGTATTATTTGCAAATATGAAATATTCAATCCGTAAACATCTGCCTATTAATGTCATAAAAGGGGGGAAAAAGAAGAAGAGGGAATGGTTGCAACATAAAAAAATGGCAGGCACAAACTAACAAACTATGTGATGCCTGAGAAGGGGGCTGGGAGCATTAACAAACTGACCTCAAAATTGAGTGACAACCCTTCTCGCAAAGCAGATTCTGCCTCTTGAATATTTCCTTCATCGAGCTTAGCCTCAACTTCTGATGCAATCATGCGGCTTCCATTTGCATGGACCTCTCTAACTGACACGTTCTCAAGATCACTGGACTCCATCAATCACCTCCCCACTACCTGCATAAAACCACCCTTACCACATTAGTCTTCAAAGGCAACGCGTATTCCTCGTTTACATTCTAAAAAAGCTAAACAAAAACCCATATACACACGCATTAAATCTTCAGCATAACAAAGAAAACAAACACACTTCCCTATTTCCCACGACACTGCTCGAAACGGATCCAAACAATACCACATAGGATTCAAATCCCCTACAAATGCATGACGGGGTTCCATAATAATGCAAAAAGCATCAAACTTTGGAAGCAAAATTCAAAATTGTAAACATAAAATCAACGGGAAGAAATTTTTTTGCAGATCCGGAGAACCAGCATGAACATGGAAGAAGAACGAAGAGAACAAAGAAGGACAAAAAAAAAACACGATTTCGAGACTCACCAAAGCAACGTGGCCTCGGAGCAATGGTGAGAGATGCAACAGTGACCTCAAACAAGATCCAAGGGACCCTTCATTTGATCAAAATTGCATTCGAGTTACCCTTTTGTTTGTTGTCTTGTTTGAGAGAAAAAAAACAAACACAAAGGAACACAAACAGTGGTTGGATGGTGTGAGGAGGTCAACCGCTATTACATACAGCAAAATGCAAAATCTAGTGAGAATCTGCAATATGGAATGGCATTTGGTGTGTATCAAACCAAATTAACAATTAAATATTGTGCCCTTTTAGAAAATAATAAAAGAATGAAAAGATTCTGATTTTTTTAATTTTTACTTTTTTATTTTTTACCCAAAGAAAAAACGGTTATATCTGAATTAATATGATTATAATTGGGTTTGACATAGAGAGGAGAGGCATGACGAATATTGGGGCAGGGGATTCGGAAAGTAGAACGGTTTGGTAAAGGAGAGTCTAATGTTAGATTGGGTGTTTGGGACCAATTACGTTGTTCTTGTTAACTTTCATGTACTTGGCTCATTAGTTTGACTTAACTTATCTAAGTTTGACTTTCATCCATTTACTTTCTTATTCCGTTTAAAAAAATAATATGATCTTTTAATAAATAAATTTTTTTTGTATTTTAATTTGTGTTCAGATTAAAGATATTCGACGAAAGGTCGGAGTAGTACCAGTAGACGAGAAGATGAGAGAATATAGATTGAGGTGGTTTGGGCACGTGATGAGAAGGCCCCTGGATGCTCCTGTAAGAACAGAAGTTTGTTACCAAGAGCTCAACACAAAAAGAGGCAGAAGTAGGCCGAAACTTACTTGGGGGAAGGTAGTAAAACAAGATTTAATGGAGTGAGATATAGATTGGCAGACGATTTGTTTTAGAACGGAATGGAGAAAAGCTATAAATATGGTGGAGGGTTAGACCCGTTGTTATTCCTATGTTCCAGATGGCCATTTTTTAGTCTTTTTCCCTTCATCTCCCCCACTTCTTCTTGTCCCTTTCTTTTTTACTTTTATTTTATTTATATATACATATCTATATACATATATATTTTATTTTATTTTATTTTATTTTATTTTTTCAACTGTTTTGTATCTTTCATGTGGATTCATCTACTACCGACCCCAATTAATTTGTGATAAAGGTGATGTTGATGTTGAATTTGTGTTCAGATTAAATTATTTGTATTAAAAAAATTTAATCAAATCTTATAAAATAAAATAAAATAAAATAAACTTTAATTATTTTTCCCAAAAATAATGTTGCTAAACATGCTCTTATTTCAGTTATTCTAAATGATAATCTATATTATTTAATAAAGGTGATTGTCTCTTTTGACTGTTACATTTGATCGTATTTTTCAAACTTAGTTGGCCAGTATTATTTGTTTATATTTTTATGTTTACAATTTATTGATAAAGTATGTTGATGGTTAGTAAAATTACATTTTTCCAATATTAGTTACTTTTTATATAGTTTCTTTTTGTTCATCATAACGTAGTGATGCCGAAGTGTATAGAAAAAATGTGACTAAACTTCACAAAAAAATTGTGATCAATAAAAAAGAAACCCTATTTTTTAATTTTTATTTATAAAATAATAAAATTCAATTCCTACAATAAAAGTTATAAGCATCATTTTATAGACTAATTACAAATTGATCCAAAATTTAAAATTTTAAAAATAAGCCAAAAAATCTTCGGTTGAGGAATTAGTCTCGTCCTTTCTCCGGTTGCGAAGCTTAGTGCACCCACTGTTACAATGAGGGGCTAGCCCAAACGGGCCGTACCCCGAAGGCATGGTGCCCGGAGAAGGTTGAATGGGGATACCTCCTGGCAATGTACCAAAAAAAAAAAAAAATATCTTATACCATACGTTGCACATAATTATAATTTCTAAAATAATAACATTTTATATCATATATTGCACATAATCATAATCATAATTTCTAAAATATAAGTTTATATCATATATTGCACATAATCATAATTTCTGAAATAAAAAAAATTTTCCAAAAATATTCTAATTATTATATGTAGTAATTTAAATTTAAAAAAAAAACAAATACCTATATATATAGAAATGTTCATACCAAACTATTAAGAACATCTACGGATTACATATAAGGATTATGCCCAAATTTCATATAATAGAGATAACCTAAACACCTAGGGATTAGGATTACATCCAAGTTTTATATAAAAGAAATAACCTACGAATAGGATTACATATACCAAAATTCATATCAATATAATCTATGACTCTCCAGGGATTAGGATTACATATATCGAACATATAACTACCTAAAGATTAAGACACACCCAATAAAATTTCATACACAACAAATCTACAACCACCTAGAGATTGGGATTACCTAGTCTCCATTTTCGCTAACTTCTAGAAGAAAAGAGTAATTTGGGGCAGAGAATCGGTTGATAATCAAAAAAATATAAAGTTTGAAAATAATTAAAATAAAATTTTTGGAGTGAGAAGAGAGAGAGAGAGTAGTAGAGGAGAGTGAATTGGTTTGGTTAGGCTAGGTCTCTATTTATAGTTGAAGTTTTGGGCTTATACATTACTGGCTCAATGCTGACTCATCATATCTAAACAATTTATGTTTGTTAACTCATCATATCTAAACAATTTATGTTTGTTGACTCATCATATCTAAACAATTTATGTTTGTTGACTCATCCTAATCCAATCAAACATTACCAATCAAATAATCAAACATTAAAGCATAATGATCAATCAAATAATCACAATTTATCACCCATTATTATTATTACTAATTTATAATTTATTACTATTATTAATTTATTGTATTATAAATTACTATTATTTTTCTGGGATATTACATCAAATCATGCCAAATGTGTTAATTTTTTTTTTCTTGCCAAACAAATCACAATCATGTCTATTTCTTTATTTGAATTTTGATTTGATCGAAATTTGTTATACTTTAAATTTCGGTTTCTTTAAACAATTGAATCATACTTATTAAGTCACAATTTTGGTTGTCTCTGACTTTCTTCAATCAATAATTTTTCTTTGAAAATTGTTCTAAGAGTATCTCCAGCCATAAGCCAAGGACTAATCCCCTTGAGGTGGAGAGATTACACGATCTTGGGTACAGATTTTTCCAATAAAGCATTTTCTATACACGCAGCCAGGGATCGATCCCTTTGAATCAATAATTGAGCTATATGCAATGAGAAAATTATAAATGCTCACTTAGTATTAGATATTTACAAACATGTGAATAAAAGAAGGGATTGCTTTTTCTACCGTCAATGTAGATAACTTATCTACGTTGAGTCCAAAACGACATCGTTTTGAGACGAAAATAAGGTATTTTTATAAGAGATAGGTTATTCTGCCAACTCTTATTTTGCCTACCTTTGTCTACCCCTTTCAATACCGTTGGATTACAGTCTTATCCAATGATGAAAATTTATTATATAAAATAAACTCTTTAACTCATTTCTCTCTCTCATTGCCTCTCACTTTTTTCTCTCTCGTCTCCTTTCTCTCTCTTTAATTTCTCTCCTCCCACACTCTTTCTCTCTCCTTCCCTTTTTCTCCGTCGATTTGCATAATTTATAATCTGAATTTATATTTGAATCTAAATCCAATCAACGATTAATGGCATGATAATTATGCTGGATGAATATAATTTTCAAAATTTCTTGAATCTAATATAATTAAACATGGCATAAACCACAAAAATACAAAAAAAAAACGAAAATCACGAAGAATCCTTTCCTTTGAATTAATCCACGATTAGAGAAACGTTTCTATTTTGATGTTGAAATTTGAAATCGAATCAACTTATCTCCTCCTTCTTATCTTGTTTTTCACCATTGATGTTCAACAGGCATACATGATCCTATAACACATGGCATCTGAGTTTGTTTCTTCTTGACACCCCTTTTTAATTTTTTATGTAAATGCTCATAACAATGACTGAGTTGGATGAATTGAGAAAAAAGCTTGCACCTTTTTTTTATGCTGAAGCACCATTAAAGAGAGAGAAAGGAGAGGAGAGAGAAAGAACGAGAGGCCGTGAGAGAGAACAATGAGTTAAAGAGTTTATTTTATATAATAAATCTCCACCATTGGATAAAGTTGTAATGTAACGGTATTGAAAATGGTAGGCAAAGTAGGTAAAATAAGAGTACGCAGAATAACCTATCCATTTTTATAATTATAATTTGTTTCAGGATTATAATAGTCTTTTTCATTATAATTTTTAAATTTTTCAATGCAAAACGATATTATTTTTGGAACAAATGTAGATAATTTATATACATATTAGCTGTAGGAGCATTAAACCCATAAAAGAAACTACATGCTTGCTGCTAGTACTAATGCATTAATAAATTTGTTTTCAAAATAAGGATAACAAGTTCGTTGCTTTATTAAGAATAATATAAGGATTTAAAAACCGCATCTCATACCAGGATATTCAATTATGGTTTTGGCTAATTATGAAAATTACATCGCGTCATATTTGGATTATCTTTCTTATTTTGTAAATATGATTGCTTATTAATATAATGTGATATGATATCCCTATTTTATTATGATGAGATTAGATCGTTATAAAAACCGCATCTCATACCGGGATATTCAATTATGGTTTTTGCTAATTATGAAAATTACATCGCGTCATGTAATTTGGATTGTTTTTCTTATTTTGCATATATTATTGCTTATTAATATAACGTGATATGATATCCCTATTTTATTATGATGAGATGAGATCTTCATAAGCAGTTAAAATTTAAAAATTAAAATTAAAATGATGGGGTGTGATTCTAACATTTTTATCCTAATTATTATTACGCTCGCCTATATTTTTTAAGGCAAGAACATGTAACTATTTATGCAAATGAAATTGTTAATAGTTTAACAAATGCTCTATTTTTCTATAGTATATTAAATATTTTATTATTTATTTATGGAATTAATGTTTTTTTCAGTAAAATAAAGACAATTCTATTTTTCTGCATTCACATTAGAGCGAATGTGATTTTTTTTCCCTCCCTATTCTTTCCAAAGGAGTTATTCATTTGTACGTGAGAGGAGATAAAGTTATTTATATCTTGCACGGGAATATTAATCTCTTCATTCATTAGTATGCATATTTAATAAAATGATTTTACTACATGATGGAATTATTACTTTTTATGATTCTTTTGTAGTAAAAATATTTTTTTAGAAAAAGGGCAGGACTCTCCTACAATACTGGGGTTGCTGATATGGATTTTACTCGGTCCTATGCTTGTGGGCACCTACACTTCATAGTTTAGCAACCATTGTTATAGGCCACCATCGTCATTGGTGATCCAACAACGTTGCCGTCCGTGTGCTTTAAAACATCATGCCTGTGAGCGCTTCCCAGATCTGTTTGCCACGTCATCTAGGAAAATAGTTTCAGCATTATGAATGTACTAATGACTCGATACATCTTTTATTAAATATGAAAAAAAATATATTTATATTATAATTATTTTTTTTTCATATTTCTATTTTCCCCTTTTTAGTAAGGATATACTTACTTTTATTGCCCTGAAGATTTACTCGCCATCTAGCGAGCATTTGGTAAAGAAGATATTTTTTATCTGGAAAAAAAAGATTTTTAGAAATATGATGAAAAATCTTTTTCCTTAAAAAGTTACAAAAGTGTATTTAGTAAGCCAAAATTTTGCCAAAAATATTAAATTAATTTTACTGATGTTATATTTAATTAATTATAAAATATTGATGAGAATGTTAATCTAAATAACAAAATTACCTTTACTTTTTAATATTGAAATGACAAAATATCACTCATCAAACGTTCATTAAAGTTACATGACTTGAGCTGCTAACCTCCTTTTCCATCTCGTAGAATGAATTGCAAAGGATCCAATCAGCTTTGTCGATATTGGAGACTAGAGTGCCACTGCCAAATCAATAAAAAGTGGATTATCTACATTAGTAAAGAATAAGAAAGAAGCCAAGTCCCCAAGTTGAAGTTTACGCAACGCAGGAAGGTTAATCTCATTTTTTGTGAGGGGAACTCGAAACTTTCCTTGTTGAACATGATAGTATATACTATTGGACAGACATAATTTCAGTGAGAAATGCAGCTCCAACTATCCCAAATCTCTTGGCAACTTCTATAGTCCAAGGCAAGAATGAATCATAAATAACGCAATCAACATGATCACTTGATCTATCAAGTTTACGTAGAAGTTCAACAAGAGTCTCTGGCTTTACTTGCCAAAAACATTCGAAATAGGCCTTTTCTAAAAACATTCAAAGGCCTATTTTATGGCTCGTGGCTCTAATACTAATCGTCCTCCTCAAGCTTATGCTTCCTTTGGATCATCAGCCTCCATGGATGACAGTTCTAGTCTTTATTTTTTACAGAGTGGTGACCATCCTGGGTTGATTTTGGTCTCCCATACACTCTCTGGTTCTAATTTTCATTCTTGGCGTCGCGCCATGGTTTTCGCTTTAACTGCCAAGAACAAATTATCCTTTGTTGATAGTTCCCTTCTTCGACCTCCTTCAACTGATTTGCTGTTTCCCGCTTGGATCCGCTGCAATTCCATGGTTATTTCATGGATTCTTAACTTAGTATCGAAGGAAATTGCTGACAGCCTTCTTTACTTCTCCAATGCATATGAGGTTTGGACAGATCTGGCTACAAGGTTTTCTCAAGCCAATGGTCCCCGTATTTTCCAGTTGAAGCAATAGATTTCCCTTCTCAGTCAGGGACCGCTCGACGTCAGTGGCTATTATACCAAGCTCAAGGCTCTTTGGGACGAGCTCCATGCTTATCTTCCCTTGCCTACATGCACCTGTGGTGCCCTTCGGCAGATCACCCATCAAAGAGAACAAGACCATGTTCTTCAATTTCTCATTGGCCTTACTGACTCTTTTTCATCAGCCCGTGCCCAGATCCTGCTACTGGATCCATTGCCTTCGCTTGCCAAAGTTTTTTCCTTAATCCTCCAAGAGGAACGTCAACGCCAAATCTCCGTTTCCCTGCCTCCATCTGCAATTTCCAAATCCCCTCTCCTCAATTCCACCACCACTAATTTCTCTCCTCCAACCCTTGCAGCCGCTGCCCAACGCCGCTCCAAACCTTTCTGCACTTATTGTCACCTTTCGGGCCATATTCGCGAAAAGTGTTTTAAGTTGCATGGCTATCCCCTGGCTATAAGCCCACCTGAAACCCTCGGCCCAATAACCCACCTTACCCTCAGGCCCACTTCATTCACTCAACCTCACCACACCCCAACTCATTTCCCCATTTCCCTTACTCGGTCTACCCTAGCCCTTCCACCGCTGATACTCCGTTGGCTTTCACCCCTACCCAGTACAACCAATTACTTACGCTTCTTCAACAGAGTTCTTCAACGTCATCTCCTTCCTCGGCTCCTTCGTCAGCTCCTTCTGTCACTGAGTCTTTCCCTTCTATCGCAAGTTTTAGCGATAAGTACTCCGTTTCCATCCCTTCTTCTTCTTGGGTTTTGGACACTGGTGCTACGCACCATGTTTGTATCTCTTCCTCTTTATTTGTTTCCTCCTCTCCTTCGTCTTCTTTTGTTAGTTTTCCTAATGGTTCTCTTACTACTGTTTCTGCTATTGGTTCCGTTTTTGTTACTGATTTTTTGAAACTTTTTAATGTTCTTTTTGTTCCCTCTTTTCATTTTAATCTTCTTTCCATCCTTTCCTTGACTCGCGATTCTCCCATCATCGCTAATTTTTCTGCTTCTCACTGTTTTCTTCAGGATCGTGCAACCTCCAAGACGATTGGGATTGCTGAACGCCAAGGGGATCTTTATCTTTTAGACAGTACCAATTTATTTCCTACTGTGCATGTCCCCCATCCGCTGAGTTTTTCTGTTTCTGTAAGGGACCTTGTCCTTTGGCACTCCAGATTGGGCCATTTATCTGTTTCTGTTTTAAATAAAATGAAGTCTGTTTTGGGTTTTTCTGAGAATTTAGATTTTGCACATCATTGTTCTGTGTGTCCCCTTGCTAAGTAGAAACGACTTCCTTTTGTTTTAAATCCCAAACTTTCCAATTCTCTTTTTGATCTCATGCACCTCGACATCTGGGGTCCTTTCCACACCCCATCTGTTGAGGGTTCACATTACTTCTTAACCTTAGTTGATGACTCCACTAGGTTCACTTTGACATACTTCCTTCGTGCCAAATCAGACTTTGCTTATGTTTTTCCTCATTTTTATTCTCTCATTCAGACTCAGTATCGTTATACTATCAAGTCTGTTAGATGTGACAATGCACCTAAATTTCATCTGCATTCTTTTTTCTCCTCTAAAGGGATACATGTCTTTCATTCTTGCGTAGATAGACCTTAGCAGAACTCTGTTGTTGAGAGTAAGCACCAAAATCTTCTTAATGTTGCCCGTGCTTTGCATTTTCTGTCACACATCCCCTTACCATATTGGCAGGATTGTGTGCTCACTGTCGTTTACCTTATCAACTGAACCCCCTCCCCTCTTCTTGCTTCCTTGACACCTTTTGAGCTTTTATCTCATAAGCCACCTACCTATGATCACCTTCGAGTCTTTGGCTGCTTGTGTTACAGTTCCACTTTTCCTAAGAACCGGCAAAAATTTTCCCCCCGGGCCTCCCCTGTTGTGTTTATGTGTTACCCACCCGGCTACAAGGGTTACAAACTTTTTGACTTACAGTCTCACAAAACCTTCATCTCTCGTGATGTTATTTTTTATGAAAACATTTTTCCATTTGCATACAGTCTCATTCCTGCCCATTCCCTACAGACTTTCTTCGCTTACCCCAATCATACTCTTTTTTTGATTTTTCTGTTGACACCTCTGTTATTCCTCAACACACCCCCATCACCCCACGACCCCAAAGAACCCGCCAACTCGATGTCCATCTTCATGATTATTTTTGTTCTTCACCAACAGCTCATCCCCTGTCCAATTCCCTTTCTTATACCAAACTATCACCCTCACACACTGCTTTTATTAATTCCCTTTCTTCACATTTTGAGCCATCTTCTTTTACTGAGGCTTCTCAGCTCCCAAAATGGCAGGCTGCTATGTCCAGTGAGCTTACAGCTCTTGAGATAAATAAAACATGGTCTATTGTTTCTCTTCCCCCATCCAAGAAGGCTGTTGGTTGCCGTTGGGTTTTTAAGGTTAAATATAACTCGGATGGATCCCTTGAGAGGTATAAAGACCAGTTGGTGGCTAAGGGTTTTACCCAAAAAGAGGGGGTGGATTACATGGATACTTTTTCTTCGGTTGCTAAGGTAACAACCGTACGAGTTCTCCTTGCTCTTGCTGCCATACACAATTGGACCCTTGTCCAACTTGACGTCAATAATGCATTCCTCCATGGTGATTTGCTTGAGGAGGTTTATATGCATTTGCCTCCTGGTTACACTTCCAGTCATTCATCCCTTCCTCCTAATGTTGTTTGCCGCCTCCATAAATCTCTTTATGGACTCCGTCAGGCTTCTAGGCAGTGGTATGCCGAGTTCTCCTCCACCTTTACACAACTTGGGTTTCTACAATCACAATCTGATCACTCCTTATTTGTTCGTTCTTCTTCTACATGCTTTATTGCTATTTTGGTTTGTGTTGATGATATTATTGTTGCCTCTAACAATCCTCATGAAGTACAGCAGCTTACTGCCACATTGCATAACAGTTTCAAGTTAAAAAATCTTGGTTCCTTGAAATACTTTCTCAGACTTGAAGTTGCTCGAAGTACAAAGGGAATTTTTATTTCTCAACGGCAATATGCTTTGGGGGTTCTTAAAGATTCTGGCCGGTTGGGTTGTAAGCCCCGTAGCACGCCAATGGATGTTGGTTTCAAGCTCTCCACCACTGATGGTGACCTCCTATCTGATCCATCCATATATCGGCGGCTGATTGGACGTCTTTTTATCTTACAATATCTAGACCTGATCTTTGTTTTGCTGTTAATCGTTTGAGCCAACTTATGGCTTCTCCTCGGGTCCCTCACCTTCAAGCTGCACACAGGCTCCTTGGTTATGTTAAGCTTACTGCTGGTCAAGGCCTCTTCTTCTCCTCTGCCTCTCCTATTCAATTAAATGCTTTTTGTGACTCAGATTGGGCTTCTTGCCTCGAAACCCGGCGTTCAATTTCTGGTTTCTGCATTTTTATTGGTGATTCCTTTGTCTCCTGGAAGTCTAAAAAGCAACACACTATGTCCAGGTCTTCTACAGAAGCAGAATACAGATCTATGGCTAATGTCACATGTGACCTTTTATGGTTGTTTTCACTTCTCAAAGATTTTCAAGTTTTGCATCCAACACCTGCACATCTCTTTTGTGACAACCATTCTGCTATTCACTTGGCAGCAAATCCGGTTTTCCATAAGCGCACCAAGCACATTGAGATCGATTGTCATCTTGTTCGCGAGCACATTCGCAAAGGACGCATTAAGACCTTTCCTATTCCTTCCTCCAAACAGCTCGCGGACCTGCTTACCAAGCCTATGCTTCCCTCCAAGTTTGTTGTTCTGGTGTCCAAGATGGGTGTTTTAAACATCCACTCTCCATCTTGAGGGGGGCTATTAATATTCATTTTTATTTTATTTGTAATTCTTTTATCTTTCTGATAGTTTACATTGCTATTTCTCTTTCCACGTTTCTGTTAGAGAGGTTTGTGCTCATGTGCACATTATGTTAGTAGAGTAGTGATATAGTGCTATTTTTACGCTTTTCTGTTATAACCTCATGCCTTGTATATAATTCACCACTGTATGCAACTTTTCTATTGAGTAATGAGAATTATGAAATTCAGTAACATTTTTTCTTTTCTGCTTTTCCATTCTTCATAACTAATAGAACTAAATAAATAAAAAGACGTATTTTTTGGTGGACGGAGATAAATATATCTCAAGTTGTTTGGAAAATGTTTTCTTATATATATATATATACATAAGGAGCGTTATTTTTACAACCTAAAAGTTTTATAACCTCTTACAACCTATTTTTTCACCGTTAATTTCCATTAATCCAACGGTTATAATTTATTGAAAAATTAGAATTACTTTTCACAAAAATCAACTATTAAAATTTGGTGTAAGAATTATAATTTCTATTGTTGAGAGCTGAACACCAATGTTTATCGTAGAGGCTAGTAATTGTATTTACGGAGCAAGTGAAAGAGATAACCGACAATGATAGTCCAATACCTCTAACCAAAGTCCGAGAGGTACACACTAAAGGGATCTGTGTGTGTGTGTTATGGGTGATGAAAGCTCTAGGGCACAAGATTTTAAGGGTGAGCAATATGGACAGTTTTGACTCTTCGGGGGTACTGTCGTACTATAGCGATATATATACAGCCTTTGGGAGTGGTTATGGTTGTATGGAGTAGCCCTAAAGCGGTTGCTGAGAGTGGTGATTGTGGGTGTTGTTTTGGAGGGCTGATTAGTTGTGGGTATAATCCCACATCCCAGGTTGCCGGGTTTAACCCTTGGCCATCACAGTCCCATTAAGTGAGAAGACCAAAGTCGTTCCTAGGAAGAAGCAAGATATAGGATGATCCCAGGACATATATATATATATATATATATATATATATATATATATATATATATAGGTTCAGCGAATGTACAGTGACTGGATACAAGAGTTTGTCCGGTCAAAGATAACGCATAGAGATAATACTAAAGTTATTTTTTTTCTCTATTCAGAAATTTAACTATGTACTACGTGT